GCTGATTTTGTCTTATGTTGAAGTGTTTTGCTTGTGATCATGTATAAATGGGTACATAGATATTCAAGACAGTTTTTTAATATATTTTATTTTTAGCAGTTTAAAACAACAATTTTTCTTTCTCTCACACACGCGCGCACGCACGCGCACACACACGTATGCAATTTGAACACAGCTTAGAAGGTGAGACAAGGCTTGGGTCTGCTCCACATAGCTGCAGCTTGCCTGAGCTGGAGGCAGGGAAGGACTGGAGGACCCACTCCCAACATTTACACTCACGTGGCTGGAAAACTGGGTGGGCTGTCAGCTGGAGTGCAGATGGACCTGACAGCTAGGGACCTCTGTTCCTCTCCAAGTGGGCCTCTCCATGTGACCGTGGCTTCCTCACAGCAATATGGCTGAGTACCAAGGGGAAGCAGTACAAGAGAGAAAAAGTTAGTTCATTCTGCTTTAAGCTATGTGCTTTGAATTAAATTTTAATATTAACATGGTAATACCCACTGTAATTATAGAAAACCCCAAATATAGTGGTATCATTAGTTTCTATCTCTCTGGTACGTTATTGGCACTTAAGCTTGACCTTCAAATCATGATCATGTGTACTTAGAACATCTGTAAGAATGCCCTGGTGTTTACATCCTCAGGAACAGGCCTCTTGGCTGGCAATGCACTCTTTGGTCCCGGCCCTTCAGTCTCCAGCTGCTGCACCACGAAGTTCCTGACCTTGGTATGGTAACTTGTTGCTGCACTGCTTACCCGAACATTTTCTCTTACCCATATCTACCTCAGCTCCAATGTAGATCCATGTTTTCTTGATCTCATCCTGGCAATTTAGGACAAATATGGGCTACTTCTTTGCTCAATGGCTAGGCTTGCTGGGATTGATCTTGGATGGATATCAGTCATGAAAGCTTAGTAGAAAAGACCCAGGGTCCTTCCTCTACTATTTCCTGAACCCAGAACATTTTCTTATGGATTGGGCTGCTAAGGTACAACCCTTCCCACCTTGCCTTTATGCCAGATATACCTGCACTTTTCCCTCCAACTCTAAAGCCCAATCTACCAATTTTCAGAAGATCATGGGCAGTGCCAACATTCATGTATGGGCTCTCTTTGAAGTGTTCCAAGTCCAGTTCCAAACTTAGTTTTCAAATAGTTAATACTTGGTTCTTTGTGCATCACAGAGAGTACCTGGTAATGCATCTTGCAAACTTTTAGGTGAATATGATAGCTTTATTAGATTTGATGTAAGACACAAAAGGGTCATTAAAAAGCATGTCTTTGGGGGTTGTGGGCATGGTACAAGTGGTAGAGTGCCTGCCTAGCAAATGAGAGGCTCTGAGTTTAAAACCCCTATCAAAAAACAAAAAAGCATGTTTGGGGTAGTACCCATGCTTCATAAGTCCAAACGATACCATAAGAACCCAATTCTAATGCCTACCAAAGATCCATACACGTCTAGATCAGAGGCTGGGGTGTTATCAAGGAAACATGGCTCTTTTGGGTTGAACAGAGAAGAGGCTATGGATTCTGTGCTGAGTACAGAGAGTAGTGCACGGGAAACACACAAAGAATCAGGCCCATTTCCCAAATCAGAGCCAAGCATAATACCCATGGAGAACCAGAGCTAAAGCCAGTAGGAAAGATGGCAACACCTAGGCATACAATAAAATCCTCCCCAAGTAGATTGGCCAGGAAATGAAAACTGCCCAATAACAGATTTCTGTGTTTGCAGAAAGAGGACAAGATGTATACCTCTAGTTCTGGGTGAGGCTGCTCAGAGTAAGGATCCTGGGGTAAACACCATTTTGAACAGTGGATGAGCAAATACTCTACTTTACAGTATTATACACAGCTCAATTCTAATGTTTTGGTGTTTCTTATTTTAGTCCACAAAGTCTATGGCACTCATTTGTGGAATGGATTGGATGAGTAGGGCTATTCTATTTAACACATGAAGAAAATGATCCAGGTACATTAAGTGCTTGCCTATCTGTAAAGTGACAGAACCACACTCAGCTCTTCAGACTCCTAACCCAGACCTTAGTCCACTCCTCCAAGGTGGATTATGTGGGTGAGAAGCTAGAGACACTGCAGGAAACAAACACTTCATCTGAGTCACTGGAGGCTAACAGCCTCCACAAGGCAAGTAAGAGATGAGGAAAGGAGGGAGATGGAGGAAGGGCTCTACTGGCAAATGCAGGAGTCTGTGGGAAGACTGACCCAGGTATCAAATTTGTGTTGAAGAAGTAGAAGTAGGGCCAGAAGAATAATTTGGATGGAATGGGGTGCATAATAAGGCACCACTGTGGTTTCATAAGAAACAGAAAGCAGGGCTTTGGAAAGATTAATCTGGCACTGACACAGAACCAGAGTGGGAGAGTCTAGAAGCAGGTAACCCAATTAGAAAACAGTTGTGGTAAATCAGGTGTGAGGCAGTAAGTCTTAGACTAAGATGGCAGCAGTGGGCTGTGATAAGGAAAGACTGAATTCACAATAGGACAGTAAGAAGACACTTCTTAATTTAGTAACAGATTAGCTACAAGAACAAAAAGTACAGTTCAGAGCTATTCCAAGTTGAGGGTCTAGAAGAATGAAGGAATCTTTGCAACAGATGATTAGTGTCTTTATCTTAGAGATATTGGATTTGATGTGACAGTATAAGAGGTACAGCTAAACAGTCTGAAACAAGATTATATCCCAGCTAGGCTGGCGGAGTGGCTCAAGTGGTAAAGCACTTGCCTAGCAAGCGTGAGGCCCTGAGTTCAAACCCCAGTATCATCAAAAAAATAAAAAAAAGATTAAGATTACATCCCAGCTAAATGGCAAGAGGTCAAGCTCTTATGAATTTTTAAGCACATGGTTGTAAAAGGAAATAAATTATATTAGATTAAGATATTCATTTAATGATAAAAACCAACATATAGCTTTTTTAGGATTTTATTACTATTTATAAAATAAAAACAAGTTATGAAAATATTTTCCCTTTTAAGACATAGAAACTATAATCTCAGCAAAATATACACACCCAAAATTATCACAACATATAACCTTGTATATACCTTGGACATTGTAAAAGTTAGAAGAAACATTTTCTCCAACTTTAGTCGATATATTGTGACATTCAAGTACTTAAGCCACATTGTTGGTATAAAATATGTCTCTAGTTTATATGTCCAAAGGGATTTAACTTCCAAGGCCCCAGAGATTCTTTATTAAGCACGGTAGAAAACTGGGAGTTAATCTACCTTAGGCACTTCCAGGAGTGGTTCCCTTTTCATACTTTATCAAGGAACTACAAAAGTCATGGAAACCAAGCTTGGGCAAGTCTCCTTCCTATCATCCCTATCTATGGAGCGTGGCTTCTACAAGATGATTTTCTAAGATATTCCCGAGCTCTAAAACACTACTGATTCTGTAATTGTCTAAGATACTTGCAAAATGATGGTTTTACAAGTCTACATTTCAATACTGTGGATTAGGTTAGTGTGATTAAAATGACTCACCTACATAGTCTTCATTTAGGATTTGTCAGGTGGAAAGTGTTAAATCAGCAAGTCTAAAGTTCCTCCTTGGAACTACTGGAAAAGATTCTTTCTCACCAAGGCAAAAATCTCAGAAGCCAAGTTCCTTTCTTTGGAAGAATGGTGATGAGGGTGGGAGAGAGTCTACATAGCCTTTCAACTCTGCAGCTTACAGTAATGACAGATGGTAGGTCTGACACAGTAAGCGTTAGAGGCCACTAGAGCTTCACCCATTAAGGTTCACTGTGACCAGGAATCAGGTGTATACACTCTCTATAGCCTGACTAATCTTCTATGTTTCCTAGATACCAAATTCTCTTTGATGGTGGAGTGGCTCAAGAGGTAGAGAGCCTGGCAAGTGTCAGGCCCTAAGTACAAACCGAAGTACTTAAAAAAAAAAAACAACCTCCCCCAATTCTCTTTCACTGCAGAGTATTGGCCTGATGATGCTCTAGATATTCAATGTACTGTTTGGATTCATGATGTCACCATCTCGGTGCAGCTTGATAGTCAAAATTACACTGATGTCCTAGAATTTACCATAGATATTTTCCTATGCAAGAAACGAGGAACTGTGAATTACATTTGTTGTATAACCTGAATGTTAGTATATATAATCCCATAAGGAAAAAAGACTGTAAGAGTAAGTTTAATAGCAGAACTGTACTTTAAAAAGTTATTTTAAAAATATATAGTTTGAAGTCCTCTTACTGTTTGATTTAGTCCTCTAAGGGTCTATTATGGTGAACCTTATAGAACTATGGGTTTTGTAAGTTAAAATGGTAAAGTCTTGGCAATTTCATATGGTTCAACCTAGTAAGATCCTGAGAAAATTTTATTTGGCATCATACTATAAATTCAAGGATAATTTATAGAAAATCACACCTCAAGTGAGGAGCAAACTTTAGGATGGAAATGTGCACATTGGTCATGCCAACATTTCTATCTTGTGATTTAAAGACTGGAAATCTTGGAATGTTAAAAAAAATTAGTGCAGTTTCAACACAACAGAGGACAAACAAAACTATAAAAAGACAGCTACAGTTGCTGATGCCACTGAAACAGAACACTGACCAAAAACGGCAATTTAAAAACGCTTTGAACAGTTTACATACTAAAAATCCCAACATTAAAATGAAAAGGCACACAAGAGTAAATATGATAACCATTTATAAAATCCTTAAAAATAAGGCCAATTTGTTTGTAGAAGAATACACCAGTAAGTTAATAAACATCAGTAAGTAGGCACCTATACCAAGTTTCAGCTTTGGCATCCTATGCAAATGAGTTGTTAACACAATACTAATTATAGCAGCATTTTCAGTAAGTTCTTAAGCTCTACACTGCTAAAATAATATCTAAGCTTGGTGTGTAATGGTGCACACTTATAATCCCAGCACTTGAGAGGCTAAGGCAGGATCATGAGTTCAAGGCCAACCTTGGCTACATAACAAGACCCTATCTCTAAAAAAAGAAACAAAAATATCTAAAATATATATTAGAATCATAATTTTTTTCTTCAGCTGAACCATCCTTTCACCTATGCCACCCCAAACACAAAGGCAAACCAAAGCAAAGACAAGAACTACCCAAAAAAACTCGCTAAACCAAACAGGCTGGTTATTCTTAGCTAATTAAAGACATACCATATTCAAAAATGGTACTTTATTTATGAGATTTATTCAATATAAAAAATGAATGTGGATTTTCTAGGCATGTGTGTGCCCATGTGCGTGGTATATTGAACTGGGTGATGGTGTACTTGAAAAAATATAGATTTCAGTAATGATCCTTCATTTGGAACTCTGTAGCCATTTACGAATGGCCGCTCCAGTACTACTGGCTACTACACAGAGGGCACCACCCACTGTCCACCAGGTAGGCACATCATTAAAGAAAATAATCTGAAAGATAAAAGCAAAGACCACATCCATTGTCTTCATTAATGCTACAGGTCCTGCTTTTTCTAGTTGAAGTGCTTTCGTGATAAATATCTGACCCCCCAAACCTAAGAGCCCAATGAGTATGAGAAATAGCCTGTCCAACCCACAGTAAGGCAGACTCCATTCTCCTAGTACAAAGAGGATGATGATGCTTTCAGGAAGGCCAAGTATAACATAAAACCAAATGCTCAGAAAGTAGTCCACAGATTTTCCCATTTTTCTTAGGATAACTAGAGTCATTGCAGCCAATATGGCATGTCCAATTGCCGCAAATGTCCCCTTAAGGTGGATTGAATAGCTTTCTTCCATCCCCGAAGTGTTGGAACCAAACAAAAATGGTGGTCTCACGATAAGGATCACTCCAGTGATTGTGAACAAGGTGAATAAAGCATCCCAAGGGCTATACTTTTCCTTGAGAAATATCCAAGCAAATAGAGATGTAAACACTGGGCAGCTAAACGCGATAACTGTGGCGTCTGCGAGGGACGTTGTCTGGAAAGCATAGTACATAAGGATCATGGAAGTAGAACCAAGGACTCCTCTGAGAAGGAGGAAAATTCGTTGACCTTTTGGGCCTATAAACCCAGTTCTGTAAATTCAAATGAAAAAATGCTTTTAAGTCAAAGTGTTTAATTAAACATTATTTCAAAAAGTATTACATGTAAAAAAAAAAGGGAATTATATCTGCAACTGAATATTATACACCTTTTAAAAATATTTTCTAAGTATAGCTGACATTTAAAGTGCTCATAGTATAAGCAAAAATAGCACAGAACTCATAAATAGTCTAATTTTAAATCAGTAAATATAGATATTATTTTTCCCCATGTATATAATGTTTGCAAAAAAATACCAAAAGGAAAACAGACCAGATGTCAATAGCAGTTATACCTTAACAGGCATTTAATTTTCCTTCTTTATTTTCCCCAGGTTTTCTATGATGAAAATGTATCATTTTTATAATAAATATAATTTCAAGGCTCAGTAGTGTTGTATGAGGAAACCTGATAGGGCTAATGTGCATTCTCAATCTCCTGAGTTTTTCTATAAAAAAAGCAATGTTAAAATTTATTTTAGCCTCTGATCATGAGACAAATTTTCACTGTTCTCATGAGGCAAGAATTAGAACTCTTAGATAAATATAATTACTGGTATACAAATTTTCTTCAATTAAGTATTTACTAAGTATCTATTCTGTGAATCTTAGACACAACTTGCTCATCTGTGCCAGAACCAGATTTCATTAAGGTACCATTTGGGCCCAACATGGACACCCCTGGACATATGAAGTTAGAAATGAAAGTGTGGTCACCTCAGGCATCTTCCATGATAGTGAAACATAATGTGTTAAGACAGATTAGGACCAAGAACTTTACGAAACTCTTTCTAGTGTCCTTCTATTGATAATACTTTGATCCCCAAATGGGGAAGATGGTTATGTTCGCCTCAGTGTTCTGTTGCCACCTTTATAATTTCCTGGAGTCTTGCCATCATTTCCTAAAGTACCGTGGCTTGTACACATTTACGCAGGAACTTCTGACAATATTAATCTTAGCTGATTTTTACTTTTTTCACTAATCCTGAGCATGCTGAGTTAAACTATTCTACATGAATGTGTATCATTTTATGAGATACAAAGAGACTTTAGTGGCAAGCAACTGAAGCTTTTACTTTGAGACTTAAGGATCTTTGTCCAAAGACAGAATGAGGCAGGCAGCCACTAGAGATCCAACTAGTCTCCCTCCCAGAGTTCGAAGTACACCGGGGTGTGTGTAGGTTATAATGGTGGAGGGGAGGCATAATTTTAACCCCAGGGAGAATGGTGGATTCTCCGGGGAAAGAAAAGAGGGATGGGATGGGGGAGAACAGTGAGGAAAGAATAAAAGTGGTGTCTATATACTGTTATGCTACACCTAAAGCACTCTGACCTAGAACAATTCTGTTTTGATCCTGTCAACACCTTGTGGGGCAGAGGCCAGAGAATATGCTTCCCTGCAGTTTGCAGAGGAAATGGAATATGAAATAATCAAAAAGCCCTTGCTCAAGGTCACTCCTATCACTTCCTGGGAAAGAACTAAATCTTATTACTACAACCTTCTTTCTACCTTGGTAAGGGAGGAGCCTGTTCCACTTAAATTTCTGATACTAGGAGGAAATGCTACTTCCTTTCATTTACTTTCTTTCTTCCAAACATCAGTGTGCCAAAAGAAAGTAGGGAGGCTGGTACAGACAGGGGAGATTACAAAACGGGGTGGCAAACAACTAAATCTCTTTCTCCTTTGTTGGCATGTGGTATGTGCTTATGGTGGAATCTTCGTGGGTAGATCCTTGTGATTTTTCTTTAATCAGAGCCAGGGACTATAGAAACTGGTAAACCTATGATAAACCAGATACTGTAGAGAAAATAATTAAGGCAGTTCAAAAGGTTTACATACATTTATTAATTATCTTCTACTTTGCAGGTAAGGAATACTTACTTTCTGTATATTAAGCAAGGAATAATAACTAGCATTTGGAACACACATCGAAATGCACTAATTTCTACAGCATGGACGTCTTGCACTTTTTTAACAAATAAAGAGGCCACTGAGAAAAGGAAGGCAGACAATAATGTGTAAAACAAGCCAAGTCCAGGACAGGGTGCTTTCTTCTTGGCTTCTGAAAAAGATTAAATTCTGGTTAGTCCTTGCTTCCAAGTGTATGTTTCACAATTTTCACTTAGAAATCAAGAAAAATGGAACAATGTCAATGGCTAACAGACTTTCTAAATAAATCTATTCTCTGGACCTGTACTATTTTACCTATCCATTATGAAGAACCATAGACAAGGGCAATAATTCAAAGCTGCATTTTAAAAATGCTGTTTCAGATTTCCTTTGGCTCACTGAAGAGTCACCCCTCACTTATAAGTCAAGAAGTAGAAAGCTTGCCAAAATGGTGAGCGGTATCTTTAAGAAACACTGTCAAGAGGGAAGTGAAAAATACTTCCCAACAATATCTTATACCATCTCACTAGTGAATTCAGCTTTATGAAGAAAGTGTTCTTTTCTGGAAAGCAGTTTTTAACTGCTTTGGTCATCTGTGGACTATTTGACTTCCCCCAACAAGCCTCTGAGCTCCTCCAGGGTGGGACTAATTGTCTTGTTCATGCCTGGAATGTAGAATATCCGAATAAATATTTGGTGAATGAGAAAATATAAGAGAACTTTACAGAGAGACTCAAGAGTCTAATATTATTGGCGACAAGCTAATCTGGGAAGGCACTCTGCTGTGTAGTTGTGAACTGCTGATCAAATCTTAACTTTTCACGGTTCATGACTCATCTTCCCAGTTGAGCTGAGACCATCTAGCCCTCTGACTTCCAGTGATTTACATAGATTTGCCTCATTTTATGCTTACTTCTTGGCTTGATCTGAACCAGGAAATCTGTGCTTTCTCCAGGGCATCAAGTATACAATCCATTAATGACAACCTGTGTGGCATGAAACCTTTTAGCTACTTTCTATGTCTGTTTCCTGCCCTAGGAGTAGAAACCTGCTGTCAATCTCAATTGGAACAGGGTAAGCAGAGAACTCCCTAAAAGATAGGCTGCACACTGAGGAATGTATATATATATTTTTTTCTTTTTTTTTAACTAACACAAAATCAAGAAGAGGTTAAAAACAAATACAACTGGCTTTTATCAGTTTAAGAGTATAATGGAGCTGTATGATGTGTGGACACATGAGATTTATTAGAAAACCTAGGATTTATCGTTCTAATCTTGCAATGTACAATGTGTTACTCAGCTATTCAGCAGTATTGCATAATTATGTTTTTACAAAAATGCCCTTCTCTGATAAGTGTTACACCAGGTAATATATTTCAACATCCTCACGTCAGTTAGATACCTTTGCCCACAAGTGACTACATATTGTGACCAAAGTATGACGATATAGTCTTTCTGGGGAAGATCTACAGCCTGACCTTTGCAGCCAGATATACTGCATATTCTCATCAGAGGCTTCCCCCCTTTTCCTGCTCTAGGTATCTGCTGGAGAGACTGCTCTGGAGCCAGCAGCAGTCATTCTGTATTAGGTGCCAGTACTCTCCATGTTCTGTCCTGTACCCATGTGCTTAGACACTGCAGGAACAAACTGCACATACCCTCTCAGGCCATGAGAACCAAACTTCAGAAGACTTCCAAGTGAAGCACCACAAAGTACATTCCTTGGCTGTGGTCAGCTTTAGAAGTTGACTTCTGAAATTTCAGAATTCAGATCCAAATAAAACTGTTTTTTCTTAAAAGAAACCCAACCCATACATAGAACCTCCATCCTCAGAGGAACAGAATGAGGAGATCAAGGACAGAAAACATCTCCCTGGCCTGTTAATTTAAGGATCCTCACCAACCTAAATTCATTTTTAATTTTCCTCCAGGAATATTACAACTTAATATGATATTTTAACTCTTTTAAAATGCGATTTTACACCTTTGGCTCTGATGAGCTTTTCTTTTTAAACACATACCTTTTCTTTTGCCTAGAAATACTTAAGGTTCATATTTCCTGACTGGGACAGGACAGATGTTAGAGGGTCTAGGTGAACTTGATTATTTGTTAATGAGGATGAGGTCTATTTAGGCAAATCTCCGTCTCTTAGTGAATAAAAATTTCAATTCTGTCAGTGAAGATGAGCAAGGGAGTGGAATACTCCAAAGAGGCATTTGCTCATGTATTTCTACATTCATATCCTGCTGCAAGCACATATAATATGGAGCTTCTAAATAATTCAAATTAAGTGGCCACCATGCAGTTTCCTGAAGAAAACCGAAAACTTGCTCATTTTCTCTATCTTCTGCTTTAAGCTAGTGATTCACAAACATAGTTTAGAACCACCTGAGTAACTTTTAAAAATTCAATTTCCAAGCCCCACCCCAGACCCAGGGAAGCAGAACTACTGGAACTGTAAAAGCTCCTCTGGTTTAAGCACCACTGCTAGACCTACAGCACTCACACTGCTCACTCCTTCCAGCAGGATGTGAAGCACAGGACTAAGCTAATTTCTCTTTGCTGCACTCTAAGATCCACATTGCTCTTAAAGAGAGCAAGTAGTTATCTTAGGATGCTGTCCATTAATGTCAACCAAGAATGTAAGAAAAAAGGTAATAGTTCAAACCTGAACTTGAAAATGAGCTTTGTAAAGTTAACCACATAAATCAACAATGTAAAAGCCAGGTGTGGTGGTACACACCTGTGTTCCCAGCACTTGGGAAGCTGAAGCTGGAAGATCTTGAGTTTAAGGCCAGCCAGAGCTACTGGGGGGGCGGGGGGAAGGGAAGAAAAGTCCAAACTGAGACTGTTAAAAAATTCAATGACAACAGCACAGTGAACAGTAGAGTGATTTTAAATGTTTTTTATGGTAATGTTTTTTTTTTTCAGGATGTTATGTGATCACCTTCCAATAACTATTACTAAGTCTTATTGTTAGGAACTTTCTTTGAAGTTAAAAGACACAAGGTTCTTGGGTGCACTCACACAGGTCTGTCATTTTGCCATGTGCTACTTGAGTGTAGAGCATGTATTCTTCATTGATGCACAACGGGAAATAAAAGTGTTTGCAAGGACTAACAACATTACAGCCAGAATGACATTGCACCATAGAGTGAAAAGGTGAGTCAGTGACCTCTTCAAGGGTGGCATATATGATTCTTTCAGTTTGGAGTAATGCCTACCCTGGAGGCACCAGCCCTGGCCCATGAGTGAATGATCAGCAGTCTGATCTGTTAGCATTTAGGACAGAAATGTAGCAAAATCATCTTCCTAGAGTTTGTCTAAATTGGGGAAAGTAAGGAGGGAATTGAGGTGGGGTAAGAGGCACAGAAATCCCAGGTCACACTCACAGCAGGAGACCCAGGTGATGAGGTGATGTAAACAGTGTGAACTTTGTCTTCAAATGAGAACTCCCCATGCTTCCTTCTAGAAACCTGTCCCAGTGGAAAAGGCCCCAGGCTGGGTCTTTCAGAAACTGGGATTCTTCCCCTTCCGTGGTGCTGTCGGGACCTGCCCTGTCTCACCCACACAAGCCAGATTTTAGGAGAAACAAACAGAAACTCCTGGACCTCACTGTACCCCTTTGTCAGAAGAGGAGTTGAACAAATGGAGGGTTCTTCACAGGGGGCCCTAACTTTGGGGATGGGGCCAGGAAGTTCTAACAAGTGATGCCTTGTTTTGAATCAGTTTCTAGAAAGTCCTCCTCTCCCCAAAAGATTAAGAACCAGAGGCCCCGCTCTACTCCAAGAGCTTAAGACTCTGAGACAGACACCTATCTAGAGTCGATGCTCTCCAACTTCCTCTTCTGGGAGCTCCGTTCACTACCCGGATGAGAGTTCAGGGTCGGCTTCCTCCTAAGCTCAGTCGGGCCTCCCTCGGTGACCTCCCACCTTCGACCTCCTGCAGGGCACACCACACTGCAACTTGACTCCAAGGTCCTGCCCGCAACGCTAATTACAAAAGCAGCAGCAAAATCCCACAGGGGTTGCAAACACTCTCAGAAACTTTCTCCGGTCCAGGCGCCGGTGTGCGCCGAGGGTGGCGAGGGGAGCTTCTGCTTTGCAGCCCCCTCAGGTGACAGGCAGCTCGACGGTTCTCCGGGCAGGGTGGGGACGGAGGCGTGGTGGGCACTGCACCCTGGCTGTAAGCCCCGCTCTGCCCTCCCGCCGGCGCCCGCCCGGCCTCCCCAGGTGAGACCCGCGCCGGGTCCGCGTGCGCACTCACCGGGCTCCGCGCGCGAGGCGCACGACCAGGACCGGCAGAGCCAGCATCTGCCGCGGCCGGGGGCGCCCGCCGCCTCGGCGTCCGCCGGCTCCTCGCCAGCGCCTGGGGGTGCCTGGTCCGTCAGCGGCAGTCCAGACTCCCTCAGCTCCGCCGCCTCCACGGCCGGCTCCGTGGCGTTGCCTGGGGGCCCCATCTCCCGGGCCGCGCTCCCTCCGCGGCCGCACGCCGTCTAGCGCCGGCTGCAGCCGCTCGGCCGCCCGGCTCTTCCGGCCAGCGGCGGCGCCCGTGCGCATGCGCGTGCGCCCTTCCCGCAAGTCTCCCCCTCCCTGGGGACCGCGCGCCTGTCCTCCGCTGCCCTCTGCCTTGGGCTCCCCGGGCTTCCTGCCCCGGGGAACGATCCGCCACCCCTGTGGTCAGGCTGCGGTGCCCACAGATGGCGGGAACGCGTCGTCCTTCTGCGGCCGTCAGGCCAGCCGGGCCAGCGGCTTGGAGCCCGCTTTCCCCAGCACTGTGGTCCTCTCCCTCTCTGCACACACAGGCAGGGACGTGGGTTCCCAGTCCCGGCGCCACGGCTCCTGTGGCCTTTTCTTGTCAGCCAAAGAGTGGTTATTTATTCATGGGTGTGGCACTGTATTTGGCACCTCTGGGATACCCTGGAGACTACAAAAGCACTGTGCCCGTCTTTAAGCTACCAACGGTGTTTTCTCTGTTATCTCATTGCCACTTGACCAAGGAGGATAGAATTTTGCTGGTTTTATAAGGTTAAAGAAAAAAAGTATATTATCATAGGGAAAATACAAGACGGAGCAGAACCTATTACATGTTCTTTGAAATGCTAGACATGCGTTACTGATCGTTGGGCCCGTCTCCTTTCCTTCTCTCCCCTCCTCTTCTGTCTCTTCTCTCTTCTTTAACTGAGATAGCCTAATTTGGGCAGATACACGATTCAAAAACTCTTATCTAGCAATCAAAGGTATGTGTCATTTGTTCCCAGGATTTGCTAACACTGTCTTTACGTTTACCTTCCTTTTTCCACCCACTTGCTTGCTTTAACTGTGGCAGGACAGTCTCGGGGCAAGGATGAATGTGTCTAAACTGTTCTAGGCCTAGTCCCCAGGCACATTACCAAACAAGAAAGAAAGCTTTACTTCTGTTCACACATTTACACATACTGGTTCACAGCAGAAACCATACTGGACTTGAAATCAGGCATCCTAGGTTCCCTCCTGACTGTGACCTCACTTACCACTGTACCCCTTGAAGACTTAATTGCCTTCTTTACTGAATAAAGATGAAATGTTTCTCTTCCTACTTTGCAGAGTTTTTATGCAAATAAAATGCAATAAAATGGGCAAAAACTCAGCAGTGCCTAGAAAACACTTTAGTGCAAAATCAAGACATATTTTTACCTAGGGGTGAACATAGTTTAGCCTCCAAACTGGAATCTTCTTTTAGATTAAAAGGGAAAACATTTAAAAATCATGCAGGGCAATAGGCATAAACTGAGACTATCCTAGGCAAACTGGGGACAAATGGCCACCTGAATTCTAACTTGATTATTATTATGTAGCTTTGCCTTGTCTGAAAAAAGAATTTAAGGCTGCTGGCAAAAATATGCAGCAGTTTTTGTTGTTGCTCTCATGGGAAAATTGCAGGGAGGGTAGATCATGATTATGAAGTAAGAACCAAGAAGCTTCTCCAAACATCCAGAAAGTCAAGTGCAGTTTCACAGTTGCATTCTAGGATTTATATGTGGGGAGGGTTTGAAGAATTCCTCTCTTCAGATACTGGAGATGGTGGCTAGGAAGTGTGGTAAGGAAGAAGGAAGCATGATGATTTGAGAAGGAAGTACCTTGACTACACCAGTTTCAATGCTGCCCTTAGAAAGGGAGACAAATAAGAGAAGAAAACCACCCTGGTGTTGATCCGAGTGATTAAGGGGTAGAAGGATGATTTCAGTCTTGCAGCCCTGTTTCCCTCAACTTTTTTCATTTCTACTGTTGACCTCCATATATGAATGATATCAATCATGATCATCTCCCATCTTAGCTAAACGAAGAGCCATGCGGACATAAAAGGCAACAGATCACACTAGAAGTCAAAAGACCTATCTCTGCTACAACTCCACCCAGAAGAGGTATGGACTGTTTAAAGTTCTCCCTTGAGCATTATTATTTCAGGTCTTTGATGACAATGACACTGAGCTGGTGAAAAGTGAATTTCTCCAGGAAAGGAAGGATGGGTGGAGACCAACTCAGAGCATACTGCAATAAATCAGGTATGATTCTGACCTCAGATAGAAGAGACAGGGAGGAGTAATGGGCTTAGAGGTGACTAAGAGATAAAATGGCCAGGAGTCATTGACTGAATGTGAAAGAGCATCCCTTCTCTTCCATTTGCAAGATGACCCAGTGTTCCAGCTGAAACTGTCCTGGCTATGAAGGGGTTCAATCTGCCATTGAGGACAGGCGCTTTCACTATGATGCTGATAAGCATGGAGAGGTGGCACTCCCACAGTTCTAGTGATAAGAAGGACGATGAGAGTGGAGGAGAGGTGGCTCTGCCTGTCTCCATGAACGACCGGAAGTCCAAGATCATCCCCATTCCTGGGCCAACAGATGGAGACGTTCAGGTATTGCAAGAGTTAAGACTCCTGATTTCCACTACTGGTTGCATGTCAAGGATTTCCCAAAGTGAGACATTTATATGTGAGGGACTATGTTTTTCTGGGCTGTAACTTGAGGCATCAGACTGGTATCTTTGCTTGTTTGGTTTTCATTGGGGGGCAAGGGGCAGGGTCTTCTTATATTGCCCAGGCTGGACTCAAACTCATACATTCAGCCTCCTGCTTCAGCCTCCTGAGTGGATGGGAATACAGGTGTCCCGCACAATGCCTGGCCACACTGGTATCTTGGTACCGATGTGAAAAGTTGCTTTTTTTTTTTTTTTCAAAACAGGTTATAGAATCTTTTCCATTTAACTAATGTACCTTATGACTTGGAAAATAGTAATAGGTTCCAACGAGTGAAGCCTAATGCTTATGTTTTGGAAAAAAATCAGTACTGTAGAACATAAGATCATATTTCTAAATAACCTTGTTAAATGAAAAGGGAACAAGCACAAGAGAAATTATTAGGATAAATGTAAGCCAGTACACTGGAGAGGCAAAGTAAACTATTCAAATGGATGATAAGAACTGTCTCTAGAAATATAACAGGGAGAAAATGCCAAGGATGGCTCATCAAAACCATTACACATGGGATTACCATATGATTCAGCAGTCTGCTGCTGGGTATAGACCCAGAAGACTTAAAAGCAGGGACTGAACAGATATTTGTATACCCCATATACCATAGAGCGTTATTCACAAAGCCAAAAGGTGAAAGCAATGCAAATGTTCATCAGTGGACAAATAGATAAATAAAGCATGCTGTGCATCATACAGTGGAATATTACTCAGCCCTTAAAAGGAAAGAAATTTTGACCCATACTACAACATGGTGGAAACTTGAAGGTATTATGCAAATGAAATAGACTAAACATAAAGTATAAGTGTTGTGTGGTTCTGCTTATTAGAGGAGCCTCCATAATTAAATTCATAGAGAGAAAATAACAAGAATGTTTTCAAGGGTTGGAGTAGGGAGGGAACAGGAGTTAATGCTTAGTGGATATAGAGATTCAGTTTGGATTGAAGAACGAGTTCTGTGGGAAGATAGTGGTGATGGTTATACAGCAATGTGAATGTACTGTCACTGAACTATACTATTTAAAATGGTTAAAATGGTAAACATTACATTATATACATTTTCTCAAAATTTTTATAAGGTTAAAAAATGCCAGAGAAAAATCCTTCTGAGAGTGCACAACAGACAGATAATAAACCAGCAATGTATCTGGGCATGGTGTTGCTTGCCTGTAATCTCAGCTGTGCAGAGGCTGAGGCAAGAGGATCATGAGCTCAAGGACAGCCTGGGCTACACAGCAAGACCCTATTTCAAAAACAAAACAATCAGTCAAACAAACAAGCAAGCAATAAAACCCCAGCAATGTAAATTCAGAATTGCAGTTACCCCGGGTCTGCACTCATAACAGAGATGCACAAGATATTTTCCTTAGCATCAACTTTACCTTTTCTTCAGTTTTGGCTCATAATTATAGAGAGATGAATATGAGCATAAAAAAAAAATTAAGAAGGGAAAGGAAACATAGTACCGTGCCTCCCAAGCTTTTCCAAGTTTTCTATTCAAGTATCCCCAGCACCTAAAATGTGTGAACTTGAGCTCTACACTTGAATCTCTGTAGATAGAACTTAGAGGCCTTATCAGATTTGAGAAGTTTCTCTGAAAACCTGTTTACCATCTTAAAATTTTACACCAATTTTCCATTCTAGTCTCTCACATATTAATTTTATTTTCATGTAACACATCTGATTAATGTTTGAATGCTTATACTGGACTGTTTACCATTCCCAGCAGAGATGGAGTGGGAAACAGAAGAGACAAGGCTCCTGACTGCTCAAGGATTGGGAGAGAGGATGGAGGAGTAACAAACGATACTGGCATTGCTAGTATCATGCAAAACCCATGCTCCAGAGTGAGGGTGCCATTTAGCTCCAGGCTTTCTGCTGTCTCCCAGTCAGACAGACTGGCCTGGGAGACAGGATGCTGAGTCTGTGGGCTTGGGAAGCTCTCAGTGAGTCCCTGATTCTTCTGGACTCTTATTTTCCCAGCTCTGAAGTCACAGGGCTACTTCCCCAGCAGACACTGATGGGTGGAGGAACACCCTGGGGGCCTTGGCAGCTCCTCTTCTCCATTCTGGGACTTTCTCCAGTTTTTCTTTTCTTTTCTATTCTCTGGTCTGTTCCCACGTTGCAAAAGGTAACTCCTGTAAACATAAATTATTTCTGACACCCCAGGGAACCTCTGTCCTCCTTCGAGAACTCTTTGTTTATTAGATTCTCTGAGAATGAACATGCCTGAGCTTTCAACTTGGCCCTAGCTGATACTACGTAATCCACTTTAACCTCAGATTTGTTATAGTCTGGGATTTGAATTCCACTCAACTCTTGTTTTAATAATTAACATTTATGAAACACCCAAAATATGCCATGCACTGTTAAGTGCATTGGTTCACTTAATCCTCATGTGAACTTTTATCAGGTGGTTTAGCATAACTTAAAAACGGGTCTGGGGCCAAACCGTCCCAGGCTTCCATTTTGGCTATGCCACTTACCAGCTGCATGGCTTCAGACAAGTGCTGGCCTCTCTCTCTGAGTCTCTATTTTCATATCTGTAAAATGGATTCATAATAGTATCTAGCTGCTGTGAAGATGAAATAAAATATGTAGAGCACCAGATAGCAAGTAGTGGTTTTTTTTCCAAAACAGTGTATTTTATTATCCCTGTTCTACAGATGAGAAGCATGAAGTTCAGAGATGCTAACTTGCCCTAAGTCCCTCTGATAGGAAGGGCAGAGATAGAATTAAAACCCAGGAGTGTTAGACTTCAAGTAGGGGGCCTGGACAACTCTGCTCCACTACTCATCCAGAGTGTTTAACTACCAGGATTGCTGGCTTCTGAGAGCACCTCACTAGAGCACAGTTTCTTCCACCTGATATTCTGCTTGAACCCTGAGACCACTGTGCTGCAAACATTCCATGTCACAGTGATGTTGTGTGGTTTGCAGTAGGCTTATGGTGTCGTTCTGACATCTGAACCTTCTTGGAGGAAAATGCTGTGAAATAAAGAAGAGAAGAAATTTTTATAGTGATATTAACAGAAACCCAAATTACATACAGATATATACACAATTGTTAGCAACCCCTTGAGTCTTTTAGTTTTTGTATATATTTTTACAGTGATAGGGATTAAACCCAAGCCTCATGCATGCTAGGCAAGTGCTCTACCACTGAGCTGCATCCCCAGCAACCTCTTAGTCTGTATCCTATAAACCAACCAAGTCTCCCAAACCTTCTGAAACCCGCTGACTTCTTTGATTAGTATGTTTCAACTTCTTCTTAATGACATGCTCATACTTCATGTACAGAAATTGATCTCTGATGCTTCTACATATCTTGTAACATCATGTAACATTGTTACATCTGTTAAAAGATGTATGGGAGCATAACAGTCATACAGAAAATGCACAAATCATAAGTATACAGTCCAATGAATGGTCACACATTAATTGTGCTCATGTAAACAGCACCCAGATCAAGAAATAGAGCATATTCAGTTCCCTAAGAGTCTCTGCTATGCTTCCTTCCTATCACTATACCCTCCAAAGGTAAGTGCTTGCCAGACTTAAAAATTATACATTAGTTTTCTTGCTTTTAAACTTCATATGAATGGAATTACAGAGTATTCATTTGCTGTGCTTTCAAAGTGTCCTCAAAAATTCATGTGGAAAGTGTAATTCTTGATGTAACTACTTTTCCAAGGTGATCAATTCTCAGGGACTACCCTTTTGAATAGATTGCTGCCGTTGCTGTGGGAGTGAATTAGTCATTGGGAGAGGAGATTCCTGATAAAGATTCTCCTCTCTCTCTCTAGCACATGTGCCCCTGCCCCTCTGCCTTCTGTCATGGGATGAGGAAGCAAGAAGCCCTCACCTGATATTGGTAACCTGACCTTGGACTTCCCAGGCTGTAGAATTTTAAGAAATAAGTCTCTGTAATCACAGCACAAAACGGATTCAGACAGCATTCCTTCATGTGACTTCTTTCAGTACTATTTGTGTATGGCTTCAGTTGACTCATTCATCACCACAATGTTGGCCATTATGAGGGGCACTGCTACATTATGAATATGTGTCTTGCCCATTTAACATATTTCCATTGCAAAGCCTTGGTTGGAGTCTATTAGACATGAGTTCCAAAAAGAGTTATACAATACTCTCTACATATTGAACTCTAAAACTTGTGATCATATTTATTCACAAATATATATCAGCTGTGTACTATTTGCCAGGTATCATGATAGATGCTAGGACTGGGGGTGCTTGAGGATTTCACAGCCTAATGAGGATGGGTAAATATATAAATAGATAATCACAATATACTGTAGTAATGCTAGAGATAACTATAACTATGACTTCATTAAAATTACTTCAGATGATGTGAAAAGCATCAGTTTTCACAAAAGTCCTCAGCCTGTATTAGAGACTAATCCTCTGGGATTCCCAGAGGTGCCTTTACAGATCATTTAGACAGATTTAGAAGGATTAAATAGAGTCACTTTTTTCAAAGTAATGTTCAGTCAATTGAGAAGATTCCATTATGCATTAAAGAAAGGTCAATGTCATTTCCCACAGGCTTTTCTTCCTCTGTGTTCCCCTTAAATGCCCTCAGCCCTTTTCATTTCTCACATGTCTTCTCTCAACCAGCTCCTCCATCCACAGGGCTTTAACTATCACTTGTATCAGTCCGTGACCCCCAAACCTCTTAACACAACTCGGTGAGTCTATATTTAAGTACCTGATATCTAACCACCCATCAGATACCTCCAGTGGCACATCAGTTCAACATGTCCCTAACTGATCTGACTGCTGTCTTCACAGTCTTCCCCTTCCTCTCCTTCCTATCCCAGTGGAAGTCATTAAACTTTCTCCTCCTTCCTCCCATATTCAATCAATCAGACTTATTAATTCTATTTTATAACTATATCCTGAATCTGAACACTTTCCTTAATTTTAT